TTGTTTCTTTCGGTCATTAATACAAGAAACCTTCTCTGTTAAACGTAATCGTACCGATCAATAATAACCTTACGACTGTGAAAATCAATCAATCTTCTACAAAACGGAATAAATGAATTCTAAAAAGTCTTTAAGGCGTAAAGTTCAAGAGAGAGAAATAGAGAGGGAGAGCAATTGAAAACGTTGGTTTTTTTTTCTCAGAACAAGTTAACGGATTCATTCTCAATTGGCGCCGAAGTCCACATGTATATAATAATATGGCTATTATTATGCTGGTTTGGAATTCAGAAATGTTCTTGATTTATAGAAAAATTCCATTATAAACGTTAATGTTAGCAGGGGAGCCCAAATTCTTGGTTAATTAAAACTCTTGGATTGATTTACACATTGATTGTATAGCGCCATAACTTTATAATTATTATTGATATTTGTAAAAGTTTAGGTGATAAATAGATTCATAAATTATTTTAGGTTGGATTATACCTAACCAGATCATACATCGTATTATTTCCAAATTTTAAGTGTTTTTCGACAATAAAATCTGAACGTCCTAAATCTCATATATTACGTAAAATGGAAGAACGGAGATTTAAATTATTACGACGAAAGTAAAACGCACTGTAGATACGGCCATTTCGTCTCGTAATTTATTATATGGGCGATTAAGTATTTATTATTATTATTATTGAGTTTAATACGTTATTATCTAGCCCGCACACCGAGATACCATATACCGTGATATTTCACCGGACGATTCGAACCACTACCGATGGTTGATGACGGTTTGATATAATACTATGATAGCTTGTAAGTTCGTGTTTTGGTGTCTTGTAGACGTTTTCAAGTGCAACGTCTTCCGAAAATTATTATTTTTTGTGCTTCGCTGTGTTTTGTCCAAATGGCCTAAAATTTGTTAAACGAGCGATTGATAACAAATCGTTGTGAAAAATTAGGAATGTATTAAACCGTTAATGTATATAAGTATTATATCGATTGGGGATTATAAGATTCTGGGGCGACTTTATATAACACAATATGAACTGTACAATAATAATAATATGGTTTTAAAAGGGTGCTTGTAGATACGCATTAATGTAAATAAACATATGACATATAAAACTGCAAAATTTTAATTTTTAAAACAAAAAAAAATATTTGTTCATATTTGAGGTAAATAATTATAGTTTATTTATGTCTAGAGTTCTTACATTTGTAACTAGCATAAAAAACTGGAAAAAGTAAAATTTGTACACAGTTTTATTCGCCTTTTAAAAAACTGTTCACGTCCAAAACACCAACGAATCGTTAAATAATTCAAACTATTCAAAAATACATAATACAGTTTTTTGGTACTCAATGATCGTGACACAAATTATATTGCAGTTCTCGTTATGAATTTCTCATATTACTACTTTCGAATCGATGAAGATTTGCGATTTTCATTACTTTTAAATACTTTATAGGTATCCAGAAGGACAAGTTAAAATTGTACGAACGAGTTACAACGATAAAATATAAAATCGAAATCCATCACGCATTCACGCTCTATACATGTATATATAAATGTCTTATAATAAATAGTTTATCGAGCTTACGTGTCGTCATGTGTGAACATGCTTTTCGTTTTATTTGCATACAATACTTACCAGTTGAACTTACAATAAAACAGGATTTCGTAAATAAGTAATATTATGGGTATATTAATCATAAAAACAATAATGATTATATCGCTTAAAGAAATAAACAAGGTCAATTTATTATTGAACAAATTTATAATTTTAACTGTCTATAAAATAAAAAAATGTACTCCATTAATATTGTAAGATAAATAAATATTTTTATACTCGAGGAAAAACAAATTTTCTTTTACAGCAAATAAGAGAAAAATAATTATTCAAAGTCACATTTTAAATAGTCAAATAAATTACTAGTTTTAAGTTCGGTTCAGTATTATATAATATTATGTTAATAACACAAAAAAAAAATGTTTTCATTTCTATTTTATGCGTCATTATTCACATGAACTTTTCTTCGAATAACAAAATGTTACTTTTTTTTTCTAATAATTTAAAATCCCAAATGACAAGTACATTCAGTGTCGAGCACGTCGTTATTCTCCAGGGGAATTACGACTGGTCGTTCATTTGTTTAAAAACATTTCGAACGTGAATTCACGTATAATATCTAGACTTTGGTGTTCTAAAAATTACAGATGGGACTTAAACAATTTAATAGGAAAAGTTTCGTGGTTTTTTTTTTTTTTTTGCAACAATAGAGTAATTCCACAGACACGACATTTTCCACTTAATAACTCTATGTGAATGTTAATAGTAATCACTAATCTAGAGTGAAAAAAAAAACTTCTATTGTCGTTAAGTTTGTTTTGCAAGCTGACAGCATGAAGTAATATTCATCATATACAAATTGCACCCCAGCATCATATTGACGGAATATTCCAATTACTATTCCAATTATTTACAATATTTATCGTAAAATACTGTCATTAAAATTCAACAATATTAAACACAATATTGAGTTCAATCTAAAAATCGTTCAATATTTTATCATACCTATTACCTGACATCAGTGCCACTGCATAGATAATAGGTACAAAGGGACATATAGGTATAGTATAGTGTAGGTAGTAATTTCAAACATACGATTAATTTTTTTAATCTCTATTCTAACTTCTGATAGTATTATCAAATATTATAATATATTTATAAATAGGTGCATCATATGATATGAAGGTCGAGATTTTTTCAACACATTTTTCAGTTTATCATATTGTTCTAACACAGGGCTAGCGGTATTTTCGGCATTATATAAAGCTAAAGCCGGTAGGTATACCGTGATTTGGAAACCAGTAATTACCGAAAATACCTTATATATTTATAAATTAAATTCTCATAATCATAATAATAACTAACATGGTTTTTAAAATGGATACCTTACTGTTTTCCTGGCTTGAAATACATCTAAATTCATCGAAAGTACGGAATAACGATAACCGAGGTAGTTATAAGCTAGTATGTCACCATCTACGTCTACCACTGACTTAATACATGGAAGACGCATTGCATATGATTCATCTGTTGAAAATTATCCCTAAATCGAGGGCTACCATTTTGATTCCGTTAGTGAACACTAACTTATATTATTTTTCATGGATAGAATTATTTTATTAGCTTATCTTCCATACCAAATATCAATGATATACCGGTGGTATCCACGGTTGATGTATTTTAACCGAGGGTATGGTATTTTCACTTTCACATGATAACAACAATTATCACATATTTCCCAGATAAGTTTTATTGTTTATTCCAAGAGAAGAATCAAAATGGCAGTCTACGAGGATGGGACAGTTTTTTTCCCAATGCGCGTTTCATAGTATACAGTTCAGTGATGACTACATTTAAACAAGTCGTTTACGTAAATAGAAAAAAAGTAACATTGCTAATACCTACTGTTCCTTGCGGAACACCATATTAGAATATACACGGATCGCTATAATCATACAGTTAATCCTAACTGATTAGGATCTATATTAGTCATCGAGGTATATAAACTATACTGGAGCGCGCACTGCGTATACCGTCCGTGTAATGAAAAACGAGCCGACGCGTTCGATCGTTTCCCCCACCACTGCAGGGCAACTTTTGCCATGTACCGTATAATAGTACGACGTACCTACTACCTTTACGTGTATAATACATTATTTTTTTCAAAAATTATTAAATTAGGAATCAATAAAAATAATTTAATATCATTTAATTTTTTTAATAGCAAAACATTAAAAGTATTAGCCCTTAGTATAGTATACTCTAAAATATATTTGAGAAATACAATACTTATCATTACTACACATACAATATAAAATTAAAAATACTAATGAAAATATTTATTATTTCCTTTAAAAATATTAATAACATATAATTTAACATTCATTTACATAATATCATACTAAAATAAATTACATTCAAATTATAAATAAAAGTATAAAAACAAATCAAATACACTCAATGAGTAGTTTTAACAGTTTAAATATTGTTAAATAAAATTAATTTTGTTAATTTCTGCCTTAATGATGATTTATTTTTAAATACTTGTTTAGAGTTTATTTCTTTAACATAATGACGCATTCTTATATTAACAAAACATTGACTTACTGCCGTAAAGAGGCTATACTCATGACTTGGGGAACCAATATCAACAGAAATAGGATGTGAATTTGGGAAAAAAAAAGAGTACTTTTGTTCAATATATTTTTTTTTTGCTAACATTACAATGTTTTGTTTCACATTGTTATGTAATTTTTTATTTATAACAACAACAGCTTGAAAAGAGTTTTCAAGCTCTTGAATAATAAAAGTGATACACCTGATGAAACTATTTTCAATTTCCCCCGATTTACAAAAGATGTAAAGTTTGCATCTTTTACATAGCTATGATCTGTTAGATCACTTTTTACTAATATATCAATACAGTAAGGACACACAACTTTTTTGCAAATATTTTTTACAATATATCCAGCAATATAATCAAGTATTTCATTAGTATATTCAATTAACAGTATTACGATTATTAACGAAATAACCATTTTTGTTCATATAATATATTAGAATGTTTTTGACGAATTTTAATTTTAATAGAAAAATAAGGTTAAAGACAAAAAAACAGTACAAACAATTAACCAAGAGTTCAGAGCCATGAGAACATACTACGTAGTGGCCGGCGTGTGGTAATCTTTTGCCCTGCAGTGGTGGGGGAATCGTTCGAACGCGTCGGCTCGTTTTTTGATAACGAGTGCGCGCTCCAGTATAGTTTATATACCTCGATGATATTAGTAAATAGTAAGATATGATTAGGTATATTTAAAACCAATGTATCATCCCCTAAAAATACGGTTTATTATGCTTCAACTTTAAAATCGTCACTTGTAAAACTATGTATATTTAAAAACAAATTAATGAAATTTCTATGTTCTAGGTCTGAAAATGCCACCCAAGTATATTGTCACTGGTGTTATAGCGCTTGTTTTGATTTCCGCTGATTACTTATGTGGTTCGGTTGGAAGCGTGGAAATCCCCATGGCTCATAAATTTTGCAAATGTTTTAACAATACCAATGACATAGAATTGGTGAAATGTCAATGTGTTCACAGCGAACTCGAAAAAATTCCAAATGATCTGCCTACGCCTTTGCACGTGTTGTAAGATGATAATATGTCTTATATTTGAACACATATACCTACTCATACGTATTTTTGTTTTAAGAATGATTGCAAAGGCTGCAATTGAAAATTTAACAAAGGATTCATTCAAAAACTACAAGAAGAGCCTTACAGACATGTAAGTGTACTATACATAATATATTTTAAAATTTAAATACAAATCATAATATATATAAAACAAGTACCTATTGGTAGTATTTTCAAACTATTTTAAACAATTTGAAATTTAAGAATCATTTAATTTTGCTAAAAGCTACTGTGTATAATACACTATATTATAGACTATAGTATATTTATTAAAACTGTATCTATATTCTACGTATATAATTATACAGTTATTAATAATATATTATTCATTATGCTCTACATTGATTTTGAAGGCAACAGTAAGCTTGGGAGATAGATTTTCCGTATACCGATGAGGGTTTCCTTTTAAATAATTAATAGTACCAGAACATTTATCGTATCCATAAATATTGTATTTATTAAAAGTTAAAACCTCGATTCTCAGGAACTCACGATCTGAGATGGAATCGTTTAATCATATTATTTATTACATAATCATTTAGTCGGTGGAAACAGATAACGAAGTTATAAATTGTGTAGATCCAAAAATTTAAAGAAAAACCTCACCAATTTATAATCAGTACCTGCCACCTGCAGACTGTATATAATAATTACTCACTTTTCATAAGGACGACAGTATTCTGAGATGTATTATGTAATAAAATATAATAATATATATTAAATATAAATCTGAAGATTTTAGATATTTCTAATAAATTAAGAGTTATATTATACATTTAAGATTCAACTTTATAACAAATTATTTATTTACATTCTAAACAATTTCCGATGAAGTCGGTATAAACTTGTTTTCTAATCAGAATGTATCGATAAAGTAGAAATAAGCCTTTTTTTCAAAACAAAATGTATCAGTGGAATCGATAATTCTCCATCCGCCGATTGTGACAATCGTAACTAGGTCACTTCCTCACTTATACTGCAATTATTGTTTAAAAATTATAAATATGTATTATCATTAAATACGAAAAAAAAGCATGAAAAGTATTACAAATTTGAAAACTGAGTTACACTGGTATCTACTTACGGATAATGGATTGTTGACCTTGGCTAGGAAAGCTCGGTTGGGCCTAAAACGCTCCCAAGATGGAGTTATAAAAATTAAATATTGAGTATATAATTAATGGATTAATGTGATAGTGACTTGATGATAATAATCAGATAGTATAGCAATAGATAATTACTTGTAAGTTGTAACTATAAAGACAATTTGAAAATATATTACATTTGAAAAGCAGGAAGCCATGAACCCAATCGGATATGTGCGTTACAGAATTTAGCTACAAATATTTTTTAAGTTAATTACGACTTAACACATTATTATAAATTTATAAAGTTTTTAAAAAATTTAACGTTTTTTTCAGACACGTATAATGTATATAAATAATAACAAAGTGTCTATGTTTAAACTTTAAACCAATATATGTATCTACTCTTTTATACTTTATTTTCATTTATTGATTAAAAAAAAAAAATGGAAATGTCTAATATTGTTTTATAAATTATTACAATTTTTGTTAATTTGAAAATTCAACCCAAGTATTACACTGCCATAGATTTATTTTATTTATTGAGAGAAGTTGGGAAATTGACTTTTGGAGGATCTTAACTGTTTTTCATTGAGACTTGAGAGTAGAGTTTCCAGATGAATTGACAAATAATCAGTGTTGGGAATAGATAACTAAAAAATTAGCTAGATAACATAAGATAATTTTAACAAAATATTATCTAGATAAATATCATTTTTTATTGTTTTTTAGTATTTTTGTAATATTAGATTTATATCAATATAATGACATAATATTTATAATAACAACTGATTGAGCCTTTGAAATACAGTTATACGAAGTTAATTTTAATTTCTTTTTAAAATGGACGAGGAAATAAACCTATACCTAATTAATTTTAATATGGTCATTATGGCTAGTAGAGAACGATGTATAGTGCAAGCCCGCATGCAGGTTCTTGTATTATCGTAATACCGTCGTCGGCAAAAATAACAAAAAATATATTCTTTTAATTTTGTAAACAATTTAGTAACATATTTGGTTTTATAATTTTGTAGGTGCACTATAATATTTATCTAGATAAGCCTATTTTTTATCTAAGCTAAACATTAGATAAATCGTAACATAATTATCTAAATACTTAAAAAGATAATTTATTTCAAAAAATCTATCTAGATAATTCCCAACACTGCAAATAATTAATTCTTTTGAATGTTTTAAAATTATTCGGGGAAACCAACATATTTATAAAATATCGTGTTTATTTGATATAAACATTTTGTTACACTTACACTAATTTAATTTCAAGAAATGTAGGTATGCCTTAAAATATTAAAAGTAAAAAAACTATGACAATAGTTATTTAAAAAAAATTCTACTAAATCCATAAATCCATAAATATTAATATATTACATAATCCCGCTAAGGCTAGAAATAATAATTATTATAAAATTACATATAATAATATTATTTTAAGTACAATACCAAATTTAATTTTTAACTACTAACTACTAACTGAAACATAGTATAAGTTTTAAAAAAGAATTTTTTTAATATTACAACTGATAATAATAATAATAATAATTTGTATTGATTTACAGATCGTTAAGAGATCTAAAAAATTTAGCTTACATAGAAAATGGCATTTTTGATGAGATGGATCAACTACTAACTATGTAAGTATTCACGAATATGGTATATCTTAATAATTTTAAAATTATCAGATACGTGTTTATTAAAGCAATTTTCTGATGAGCCTTTACTGTTAGCAATAAGTCCTAAATGTGCTGCACATTAAGAGCAATATGCTATTGCGGCGTTATTGTTGTTTGTGTCTCAAACATATTATGTAACATAACAAAAACACTTAAACACTGATCACTTACGAAAGTGTCCGGAGAGTAATTTTAAAGTTTAATAGTTTTTTTTTTTTTTATAAAATTGTAATTGAATAATATTTTCTAGATCGATCATCTAGTATTAAATATACCACATTTATGTACATAATATAACGTTGTAATGAATAAAATCCTTAATCCTAATTTAGGAAATAAACATCAATAATTGTTGGGTAGGTACTAAATGTACTACAAGTTGAAATGAGGACAGTAACTTGTTGAAAATATATAACTATTTATATATATAATCGACTTACATGATACTTTGGATACCTAATATTGTTGTATATCATTTCAATGTTACCTATATAGGTGTTAATATTTCTAAAAAATTATGTACTTACTAAAATATGCACATCGCTAATGATAATCGATCGACATGAACGTCTTTTAATAACAGTTGTTTATATGTCATATTGCCATTAGTAGAGGAGCAAAGATAATAAATCAGAATTGTGCACCCTTTTTAATAAATTCGATTAGTTTCGCTCGGAAGTTCGTCTCACACTCTTACGAAAGCGGGAAAAACCAACTTCTCCAAAGAATTTCGAAAAATACAAAAAAAAAATGTTTTTATTTCATTCATTTTATTGTTAAAGTTCCGTTACAAAGAAGGTCTCTTATAATATTTTCATACACTGTGTGCAGTGTGCAGCGTATGACACGTACTGTTACCCAAAGTTTTTTTGTCGGCAATTTTGATTCACCACCAACAAACTGCCTTCACGCGTAAAATATTTCCCTCGGGAGCATAGAGGTTTGAATTAATCTTTAAATTGACTGACTTAATTGAATCCTTAACTGTAAGTCGATTTAATAATAATAAAAACACACACATATAATATGTAGGTGTTATATCAAATATGCAGTGTATTTTCTTTGAGTATTTCATTATCAAAACTTTCTCCCTCAAACTTCAGTGTATACCTGCCTATTTTAGTTTTCAGACGAAAGTAACCCGCGCAATACGTCTCTATTCGGTGATTTATTTGATGTTTTTCTATTCTTTTTTTTTTAAATACACATTATAGTTGGGGTACTTGCAGGTATCCTCCAATGATCGATTGATAATTGTTACTAAAACAAAAACTTTAGTGTTTGGTTTATTTTTCTTTTAAACTGGGTCAGTACATATCTAGTATCACATTCTTGGTGAAAAATAACATTTAAAATAGATAATAAACTATATTCGGAATAATTATATTATTAGTGTTACTATGTAACGATTAAAAGTTCTGTTGTATAATATTTATCTTAAAAGTTGATTATACTTTTTTTTTTCAAACTCTACTTCCATTGTAAGATTTATAAGATTTATTGTAAAATGTAAGACATTATTTTTGTTATTGAACCATACGGCAAAATCAATAATTTATAAGTACAACTTATAACTTTGTACCTCAACCTAACACAATACTATACTATTACTATAATAATATATTGTGTGCACAACTGTATCATACTATATATTATATTATACATTTATATGTTAGTGGAATTTGTAGAACGATTACAACTACGTATTATTTTTATTTATTTTTAGATTACGATCCATGTGATTTATGAGATTTTAGAACTTTCAAATCTACGTTTTTAAATTAAACATCCATATTTTACGTTTCGAACTAGATAATAGTAGGTATGATATAATAAGAAAAAATAATAAACATAACATACCAATTCGTTTCTTTAAATATTACACAGCAATAATAGTATTCCAATAAAATTAGATGTTTCTTTTAACACTAAGTGGGTTACTCTCGAAAAGTTTTTAATCAACGTTTTTGGAAAACATCCATTTTAAATTTCAGAAGAACTTTTTTTTAAGAATTTTGACATATTGCACAATTCCAATTTCGAATTAGTAACAAAATGCATGCTTAATTAGTTATAAATTATGAGCATTTAAAATTTAAACGAGAAGAGAAGGTACTGGGCCAACATTTTGAGAGGTATAAATGTATAATTTTACCGCCACTAGCTTATACTCTATTACTCTATACCCTGATTATCTAAACTTACAAGTTATGACTAAGTAATTCGAAATTCGATGTATACATAATATAATATTATAATACACATAAAAATATTTTTCTTATGAATAATATATGAAATTAAAAATGGACTTTGTTATTCGAAAATGTAAAAAACTTAATACATATTTAAACAATACAATATAAATAATAAATTATTAAAAAATATAATTTAAAAAAAAACAAAACATTTTGTTCTGCAATGAATTTTATTGTAAACTATTTAATTTATGTAAAACAACATTTTCATAAACGTTAATATTTTTTGAGATAATGAGCAGCATTTGTTGCTGAAAAATTATCTTGTATATTTGATACGGTTCAAATAGTTTGCAAGTCACAAATACATTTCTGTCCGTATTTTTGGTAATGATAAAGTCGATTTTGCAGTTTCTTAAGATATTGCAGTAAAGAATAATTGGAATTTCGACACAGACACTCGGTAAACGCTTCGTCCGACGCCAATCAAAAGGATATTATTATTATAATTTAATGCTTGGAACACTTTAGTGCTTAGTTTTAGTCATCTAAAAAGTGTTATTCTGAAAAGAATCACATCTTGTTACCGTACAAAACGCGTCATACCTATATATTATATTATATTCGTATATTTACTCTCTCGAAGCGTAAATCTTTCGACTCAGAATCTCGAAATATACTTGTTTCAAACAAAATAATAATCTTGCATAAAATTTAATAAGAAAGTTGATTTATATATATAAATTATTTATTTTTAATTATAACTGCTTATTTATTGTTGGGGGGGGGGGGGACAAAAAATTTATCTTTGGTAAAACGTTCTCTATAACTGGTATTTGACTATTTGAGTGATGTTATTCGCAGTTATACTTATGACGTGTATCTTATAATATAATATATATATATATTTATTTTAAATTTTTTCCAACAAGCTTTAATGTAATGTGTGTTTGACGTACAAGTACCTTCAGAGTAAATCGACTGTGTTCGACAATTGCACTTTTAAACATCCATATTTGTATACCTGGAAACGTCATATTTTTAATAGGTTCTTTTCAAATTATTTTAGATGACTTTACAAAGTGCAAGTATACGCGTTCAGTAACATATTATTGTATTATTATTTATCACTATCAAATTTCAGTAGGTATTTGGTAATATTATTATTTTTTTTTTTTTTTTTTTTTTATTAAATGAGCCACAACAACATAGATTATTGGCTGTTATTAAATTTTAGGTACATAGAAAGATAAAACGGAGGGAGAGTTATATAATTCAAGTTTGGGGCGTGAATGCGTATTTAGATTAAATTATATAATTTAGTTAGTTTTAAAAAAGTAAATATCTTTTGGATGTTGTCCGGATCCGGGCCGAGTGCTTCATAAAGATTGTCAGCTAGTTTGAGGTTGACTCTGGCGTCGTTGTGTTCTAGACAGGAGCATAAGATGTGCTTGACTATAGGTGTTACGCCACAGGAGAGACATGGTTCGGGATTCGTTTTGGTCATTAGGTGTTTGTGGGTTAACCATGTGTGACCTATTCGAAGTCTATTAAGAATTACTTCATGGCGCCGGGGAAGTGGAATGGTTGGCCATGGGAGAATGCTCGGTTTGATTTCATTTAGCTTAGTACGTAGAGTTGACCAGGTGTGTTGCCAATTTTTTAGAATGTAATCGGCGATGAAGTGTTTTGAGTCTTGTAATGTGTGTGAGCAGAGGATTATAGAGTGTGGAGATGAGATGGACTGTTTGGCGTATGTGTCAGCTAACTCATTTCCGGGAATGCCAATATGACTTGGTATCCATATCAAAGAGATAGTCTGTGCGTTGGTTTGAAGAAACGATATCTGGTTCTGGATTTTTTGTGATATGCTATTAGGTTGGTAGTGGTTTTGGATGCTTTTGAGTGTGCTAAGGGAATCGCTTAGTATGATAGATTTGTTTATTGAGTCTTGTTTTATAATGTCTAGTGCATGGGAGATAGCCAAGGCTTCGGCTGTGTAGATTGAACAATAGTCAGGGAGCTTGAGCATTCGTCTGGTTTCACAGAATGTAACTGCAGCGCCTACGCCGGCTTCTGTTTTGGATCCATCCGTGAAAAAGAGAATATGGTCTTGGTATCCTTCGAGAATTGATTGTAGTTCACTTTTATATATGTTCGGCGTGGTTTCGCTTTTCGGAAGGTAAGACAACTTGAGGTTGATATCGATGTCCATAATATTATTATTATCATTGTTCATTTGTTCATATCGTTAAAACTGTAATTCAATTTATCGTTTTATTTATAAAACATCAAGTCTATATTGTATAAAGTTAAAAAAATTGCTTTGTTTAAAAATACAAATTGGCCATATTACTCAATTAAAATAAAATTATTACCCTGGGGATTCAAGAACTCGAATAAAAATTGTTTATATTATTGGCAACATTTAAAGTTTAAATAATCATGATAATGATTTTATAAAATTGAATCACTGGTTATAATTTTTTTTCCATGCATACCTATGTTATAATATAAACATGATTTTATTATTGGAAAACAAAGCTGTTACTATTTAATATTTCAAAATGTTAAAAATATGTTGTATATTAATTTTAAATTTAAATATTGATGACCTCAGGCTGAAATATAAAGCTGTCCATTGTAGTAGTAATTTTTCAATAACCAGTCATATCTACTTTGAGAAAATCATTTGTAGATATAGGTGCATAATATAACTTATAACTATGTATGCATCTAAAATCGTAATTATATTAATTTTAAAACCAATTGGCACCAAGACGTAATCTACATTATAATATATGTATTAATAAACTCATGATTTCTATTTTTCCACAGTAAAATTTTATAATATGCATATACGTCATAGACTGTGGGTAATTTAAATTAAACTATGCATTACGATAACATAAATTAAAACCAGTGGTCATGGGTAATTTGGTATTTGTAATCCTTTTATGCAGGGAAAGACTAGGAAATCATTTCAGACGTGACAGGCATTTTGACAAGGGTTCCCGAAAGAGTTGTAGATTAACCTCATATAATATATGTTAGGTACATCTTAACATAAAGGAAGATTTTTTTTTTCTGATAATAGCAGTAATCAATCACTGTGCCCAAAGTGGACATGCATTTAAATAATAGCTGGACAGTTCTACTTATTATATTTTGAACATAAATCGATATAAATTTAATTAATGACAATTTTTCGACTGCAATAAAAAATATACATTTTAAAGTATTTAAATTTAACATTTTTAGTGTTTGTTTTCAACTACATATATATATTTTTTTCATATTTAAATTATACACGGTACCTACTTACTAACTTACACACAAAATATACGAGTAGTTGCATGTGAAATTTGATTATTTTTATAAAGTACCTACAATTATAGCATTCTTGTTTCAAATCTGAAACAAATCATAATAACAGTGAAGTGAAATATCTCAGATCTTTTGGTTCGACTTAATTTAGAACCTGAGTAGTTAGCATGTCCCAAGGTCATGGTGTGTATTTTTTCTAACTATTTTCGAATATTATATTAAATCTTCGAGAGATTAATTTTAAGATAATGCAAATATTATTATATTATGTGAATTTTTGTTGATTATTATATTAAAACTAAGTCTTAAAATAGTACACGTTGCCCTTATTTAATTATATATAGATACAATGGCCATGTATATTTAAATATTTATAGAAATCAAATAAGCATATTAACTTATTAATCAAATTTAATTAGAATTTTCGTATCAAAGATTTTTAAACAAGTTGATTTGCATAAAAAAATATATCAAATCTTCGATGTATTTTTTTGCAGATCAACAGATATACATTATATTTTACAATAATAATTAAAAAACAATAAGGTTTATCATTTTTCAAAAACTCCATAATATATAGGTACCTACTTAATATGTATCGGTATTTAACGCACTTTATCAAACAAATGTCAGTAGATAGCTCGTAATATATTATGTAGCAGCGACTTTTGTTTTTAAAATTTAATAAATATACGTATGATGATTTATCGAAACCAAACACTGTACAATAGCAAGACGTGCAGATGATAAATGTTTTTTATTTTTCTGTTGCAGTGTTATTCGTACCGCTCCGAACCTTAAGGTGATTTCTCCGACGCTGTTCAACGTGTATTTGCCTAAATTGAAAATCTTGTAAGTAAACTATAAGGATACCTATGATATATTATAACAGTATAACATAACCATAGTAATGTAGTATACGGGTAAACGATATTTCTATGCAAGCCCAGATTAAGACCTAAAGTCTAAGACCCAGTGGCCGAAGCTCGGTTGTGATTTGTGGTAATGGAATACAAAATACAGTCTGGTTCTTATTTATATGATTGAACATTATAATATTCTATTGGGGACCGCATTGGGTAGAAAAATAAAGCTTTATCATTTTGTAATCCACCAATAATATCACAACTCATTGATTATACCTAGTGCGTAAACGTAATAAATGATAATATTAATCTCATTAAATTTAACTCATTTTTACTACTTTTTAATGCTTAATATAAATATAATAATATGATGACACAGCACTATAACACTTAAAAAAAAACACATATTTATTATTTTATCAACACTAGATGTATTATATTATCTAGGTATATCATATTATTATTTTGATTAAAACCCTTTAAAGGGCATAATTCTATGCTTACAACAGACAAAAAAAAATTATATTTTTCAATTTCTATAGTCTTTAAGACATTAAAAATCATGTTATTTACAACATCCCTCAATCAGGGTAGTTCTGAGGGGTTGTTTTTGAGGTGGTAAATATATTTACCACTGCTCATGTATAATGAAGTAAGGTGGTATATATATTTACCACTGCTCATGTATAATAAAGTAAGGGGGTATATATATTTACCACAGACCATTCACAACTTTTTATATATTATGTACAAAATAATTAAATAATTAAATAAACAAATAATAAATATTATTTTTTTATTAAAAAACAAAGAAATCAACAAACTAATTAAAAATAAAACAACAAAATTAAAATTCAGACTCAAATAAAATAAAAGAGTATACAACAAAATATTGCTATTTTAAAATCATAAAAAAAACAGAGCGACAACAAATTATAGAAAGTATTTTAAAATTACAAAACATAGTATTACATAGTATTAAACAAAATAGTAAAACTTAAAAAATAAATAAAGAAGCAAATACATATTATAAACTTAAAACATATTCAAACTTTATAAATTGAATATTCAGACTTAATAAATAATTACAACTAACAAAGTAGAAGTAAATACATCACAAAACCTTACCTTTTTAAAAATTAAAAAAAAACAAAATTAAATTAATAATAATATAAAATATTTCAAACATGCCTACATTTTTAATAAAATGGTATGCATTGTATACAACAAAATAGTGTTTTAGGGGTTCTTGTGGAAGGGTGCAAAACATTCTAAACAAAGTGCAATATCACACATTTTGCAAATAATGTTTGAACGTTTCTGTGTCTCTATAGTACTACAATATCCACAGCGACGATATGTACCTTTTGTTGGTAAATGATCACCAACATTTTGTAGGTAATATTGGTTGCCAACAATCACTTTTCCAGTTTTTTTTGTCAATTTTCTTTGCATTGACTTTTGAATACCCGGTTTTTTTTTTTGAAGAATAATCACCAATTAATTGATTTGCTAATGTTGATCTGAAATTTAGGTGTGTATATTTTGATGATTTTGGGTCATGGAGATTACTAGTAGTTTGATATAGCACAAATGAATTTACTATAGAAGCATCTAGAAGATAATAAAATATTTTTAGCCACCATCTTCTGGACTTCCAGGCCACATTGTAGTAAGAATGAAACTGATCAAAATGGTCGACACCCCCCATATACTTATTATAGTCTACAATAGCAGCTGGAGCCTTCACTACTTGTTTAACTCCTAGATTGTCTCTTCTAGAAACAGAACCAATACAACTGCCATCATGCATATTACTAATTACATTTACACACTTTTTTCCTCTGTCTTTCCACTTACTTATAGTTATTTCATTAGAAGTAACTACATCAAACTGACCTTGTTTTAGTTTTTTGTCATCTTTTAGAACACTAGATGGAAAATATTTTTTATTTGATTTGATAGTACCACATGCAAAATTATTTTTCTCAACCATATTTTTCACCATAGGAATATTACTGAAAAACCCATCAAAATAAAAACAATAGCCTTTGTTGTCATAAAGATTAGCTAAATGTGTCACAACTTTTTCTCCAAGACCAATTTCTGGATCTCCTTGCTTGCCTTGGTATACTTCAAACTGTAGTAGGTATCCAGTCTTAGAACATGCAGCTGCCCAAATTTTTATACCTCGTTTGATTGGTTTAAGTGGCATATATTGTTTAATTGTGGTTCTTCCCTTGAAAGCAACCATACTTTCATCTATAGCAATATTTCTAGATGGGTTGAAATTTGAAAAAAACTTTTCATTTAGTTTGTTGATCAGCGGTCGCACTTTGTATAATTTATCATAATTAACATGTCCCCGTTTAGGCATAGTTAAATTATTATTCAAATGGAGAAATCGTAGTATAGACAGAAATCTTTTTAATGACATAATAGATGATATCCTTGGGACTTGAAAATTGGCATCTGTTGACCAGTAAGAACGAATAGTAGGTAATTTATGAAATCCCATTATGATGAGACAGCCAAAAAAGGCTTGTAGTTCTTCAATTGAAGTAACAAATTGTTGATTACATTGAGCAGCATATAATTCAGATTGAGTCTTGAAAGTATATAGAATATCATCATCAAAAAACAGTTTAAAAATATCAATTGGACTATTTATATCAACAGGTACTTTGGGTCCAAAAGGTTGTGTGAATTTATATCTCCTAAATGTTTTAGGTCTACAACCTTTTTTTTTCCATTTGAAAATCAATGTTGGTTGAGGAAATTTTTTTTTTTTTTTTGTTAATTTGTTGCTTATTGGCAAAATGTTAGGAGAAACAATATTATCTACATTTATTTCAGTAGACACATCACCATTTTCAATTATTTCTATGGGCATACTCATAATGTCAAAATCATTTGGAGAAAAATTGAGAGTAGGTGGTGGTGTGCTACTAGATATACTTGATACTGGTATGGTTGGTGATTTGGTTACATCTGGTTCATATGCTGGAGAATCAGATTGTGATGAAGTACTTCTTGTATTTTTGTGCTGTGGACTAGTTATTAATAATCCGTCTTCAAAATCTGAATCACCATCAATATCAGAGCATTCAGCTTGCTCATCAGTGATTGAAAATAAATAGTCCCTTACACTATCTTCATCCATACTAAAATCATAAAAATAAATTACTTATTTATTTGATATACCTATACCTGTTTGCTAATAAAATAATATAAGTATAAATTTAAAACATACCTGTATGCTTGAATATATATTAATATAAATTGTGTTTACATCGCAAAGATGCAAATTCACGAACCGTAATCGAATGTAATCAGTTCATTTTCACGACCCTATCATATTTTGAATTTGGATATTATCTTTTCGAAAAGGAGCGAAAAATAATTGATTACTTCATATCATGTTAAATTTTCACGTGATTTAGAAAATAAAACAATCATCGGTGTGGCTACACTGGTTGCTTGATAAATCAAATATTTCAATTATTGTTAAGAACAATTTCACGTGACCAACAAGTGAGCAGTGGTAAATATACTTACCACCTTTTTTTTTTTGTTATATCTACTGACCAATGAAGTCTTAGCAAATAAAACTTATAATTTATTGATGATAAACATTCTAAGAACACATAGACACCAAAATTGGACACTTAACATCAATAATGAGTGTCATATCACACATTTATTGAAAAAAACCTAGTGGTAAATATGGTTACCACTATTCGCTAAAGGGTTAAAATAGTATAATTTAAATTTTAAATGTTACAGTTTGAGTAAACAAACACAATTAACAAAATGTATTTATTTTAAAATATATTAACTAACTAAATTGTAGAAAAAATTATTTTTAATCTCTAAATTACTAGAAATAATTAGAGTAATAACTGTGTGTTATATTTTTTCCCATTTACCCATTTAATATTTTCTGAAATATATTAGTATATATGAGTATATAAATTATTTCCCATAATTTTTTCCTTTTTTTTTCTCTTATACCTATGCTCAACTAAGCTGCTTTTTTGTTGCAGACATTTCTAGATATATTATATTTAATTATTATTATATTTTTACTTATTTAAATGTTTACAATTAGGTAGGTATATGTATCTGGGTTAACAAACTAAAATAGGAACTAAAGTGATAAAAATATTCGATATAACAATAAATATCATCGTTTTGGTCCTGATCTCCCTTCAGGGAAAAACTATTGTAAATATTTTAAAAACAGAAAATAGTCGAAAACATCGTTTAGTTGTGACTTGTGACAGAGCTTATTAGTATACTCTACCTCAACAGATGGTTATAATTTTTCATTAATTTTGTATGTCTTATAATGTAATATTTTTAGACTGTAAAAAGTACAAACGACAACTTAATTAAATTTCATGCTAACAATGCTATAATATGGGACCTTTACATAGGTAGGCCCCGGGGACTTTCCCCTGTAACCCTTTAACCTGAACCTGAATGGCTGGATATGCAGGTTATGTGTCAAGGGTAGAAATGAAATCGGTCGTTAAATGAGCGTATAACGATTTCGTATTTCCACTCTCGGCGATGATTGTTGGCACATGGGTAGGTATTATGTATAGGTATATTTACAAAACTCATTCTCGTCCATTTATATACATATATGTAGGTGGTAGCCAGTAGGTGCCTAATATTATGTTTTATTTGAAACGTAACGTAAATTATAACAACGTTATATTTTGTTTTGTGGAGCAAAGTGCAAATAATATATTTTAACGTTAACGGTGACACACTTTTTTACGTACACGATATTACGATAGCCGAGTGAGTGGTCGAATGTCTGCGAGTGTTGCTTATTATATATATTATAGTTAAGGGTTAAATTTAACGTGATACCCATAACCATGAGTTTATGTCTCACTTCCAATATAATCATCGTAGTAATAGTACAAAGCCGATGTGGTCACATGTATGTAATGTGTGTGCGTGTGAACTCGGTAGT